GACGTAAAAGTTCTAGAGGGGTACTCCTCAAACATTCAAAATCTCGTATCAATGAAAGACCTCAAGTTAATAGGTCTTAAGTCTCATGATTGTCATGTACTCATGGAGCATTTCTTGCCTATTGGCATAAAGTCTATTCTACCTAAAAAATTGCGAGGAACCATAACTAAATTATGCTTCTTCTTCAAGGCAATTTGTAGCAAAGTGATTGACCTTGTGAAATTACACGCATTGCAAAGACAAATTATTTTGACATTGTGTGAGCTTGAGATGTATTTCCCACATTATTTTTTGACATAATGGGCTATCTTAGCATTCATCTTATTCGAGAGATACAACTATGTGGTCCTTCCTACATGAGATGAGTGTACCCTTTTGAACGTTATATGAAGATATTAAAAGGGTATGTGACGAATCGATCAAGACCAGATGGTTGTATTGCTGAGCGATATATTATTGAAGAAACTCTTCATTTTTTTACCGGATACCTTGAAGATGGTGATTTCATAGGCATTCCAAAGCCTCGGTATGCAAAAGGAACATCTCGTGAAGGCATTACTGGGAAAGAAATATTGAGTATATCAAGAAGCGAATTGGAGCAAGCACACTTGTATGTTTTACATAATGCCGACGAGGCTGAGCCATATGTTGAAAGACACATGAATATGCTTAAGAAGTCTAACCCAAGTAAGAATGAAAATTGGATTTCCAAAGAGCATAATCGGTGTTTCATAAAGTGGCTAAAACATCACATTGATGAAGAGTTGAATATAAATGTGGATTTCATTTCTGAAAGATTGAAATGGTTAGTCAATGATCCAAGTATTCATGTCATATCCTACAGTGGTTACCTAATTAATGGGTTCACATTTTATACTGAAAAACAAGATAATCAATGCAAAATGTAAAATAGTGGTGTGACTCTTGTTGCTCGAACTCTACATATGTGAAGTGCCAAAGATAGAAACCCAATATATGCAAATATTTCATACTTTTGGGTCATTAAACAAATATGGGAGTTGGATTACACAATGTTTCGGGTGCCGGTTTTTTGTTGTATGTGGGTTGATAACAATAATGGCTTTCGAGTTGATGAATTAGGGTTCATGCAGGTGGATCTCAATAGGTCAGGATATAAAGATGAATCATTTATTCTAGCATCCCAAGCTCAACAAGTATTCTATGTTAGTGACCCATCAAATAAGAAATGGTCCATTGTTTTATTGACCAACAAAATCATCATCAATAATATAGATGATCAAGAAGATATTGATGCTGAAGATGATTCTTTTTTTGGGATATCACTGTTGCATGAGATAACTACTAATGATGATTTATATACAAGAGGTGATCATGATGAGGGCCTTTGGGTGAATGAAATTCTTATTGGAGAAGACAACAATATTACAATCCATAAACCATCAAAGAAGAGGAAACATTATATGTATATCTTTGTATAAGTATAGCATAAATTTATTTTGTTTGTAATTTACTTATAATTTTGTTTGTAATTTACAGGAGAATTGTTTGCATTGTAATTTTGTTGACAGTCTAGTGTAAGTTTGTTGCTTATATAACATTAGTGTGAATAATGCATTGTATTTTGTTTGCATTGTAATGAATAAAGATTGTTTTGACAGTCTGCTATAGGTTTGTTGCTTATATGGCATTAGTGTGAATAATGCGTTTTATTTATTCTTTGTTGAGTTTGTGAATAATATTTCAGATGCACACTCTAGTAAGATTCCTGCAATGGACTAATAATGAACTCATGAATTTGTAAGGCTTTCTTCATTTCAGTGTTTCACTTTTTTTATTTTTTGTTGAGTTTGTATAGTTACTTTTTTTCTCTTCTAATAGCATTACTTTCTCTATTTTTGTTGTCCCGTTTCTATAGGAATAAATGGTCTTGATGTGGTGGAGCAATGCTTTTTCCAATGCATAAAAACATCACAATGAAATTGAGAAATAAACATGTATTCTTTATTTACCATAATTTTATAATTCCTTTATTATAAGTTTAGATATAGTAAGTTTGTTTTATTGTTGAGTCATTGCTTTCCAATGCAGAAAAACATCACAATGAAATTGACAAGTAAACATTTATTCTTTATTTAGCATAATTTTATAATTCATTTATTATAAGTTCAGATATAGTAAGTTTGTTTCATTGTTGAGTCATTACTTTCCAATGCAGAAAAACATCACAATGAAATTGACAAATAAGTTTATTTACCATAATTTTATAATTAATAAGTTTGTTTCATTGTTGAGTTTGTTTCATTGCTGTTATAGTAAGTTTGTTGAGAGGTGGCTGTGTGTTGTGGTTGAGATAAATCAACAACGCATTCTAAGAGTAAATCTTTAAGCCGCTTTGTAATAATGTGCGGGTAAGTGGTAACTGGTAAGCCCTTCAAAAACAGTGGATGTTGCATTTTAATAAACAGTGCATTCTAATAGGAAATCTATACAGCGCTGTTGCAACAAGTAAATCTATATGGCGATAAACAACGCTGTTGCATTTAATAATTCACTGTTATACGTAAAACATAAGACATCACAATATTTACGTTGTGCTGTCATACGTAACACATAAGACAGCGCAATATTTATGTTGTGCTATCATACGTAAACAATCAGACAACACTGCTTAGACTGCTGTCATACGTAAAACATATGATAGCGCAATATTTTAGTGGTGTTGTGGTATATAAACTTTACGACTGCACAACTTATATTGTGTGCTGTCATACGTAAAATATAAGACATCGTGGTATTTATGTTGTGTTGTCATACGTAAACATAAGACAGCGCATTATTTTAGTGGTGTTGTGGTATACAAACTTTACGACAGCGCAATGTATATAGTGTGTTGTCATACCTAAAATATAAGACAACGCAATATTTAACACTACAACAGCGCAACGACTTAGTGTTGTGGTATACAAAAAATTACCACAGCGCAACCTATATGGTCCGCTGTTGTACTAGATTGTGTTATAAAGCACTACGTATGAGTTGAGCTGTTATATCTGTCTGTTCCTTAACAACGCATGACTCAATATTCGCTGTTATAACATGTGGTATTCAACAGTGACTTTAGAAGCGCTGTTAATGACTAACGTCTACGACTTCGGTCAAATAGACAGCGGCAGAAATTGCTGTCCTATAGCCAAAAAATGCATTGTTGCTCAACGTATCTGGCGTAGTGAATATTTATGTATTGACAATATACAATCAGTATATTATTCATCTTTCATTTGAATTATTTTTTTGAAGATTGATTGGAAATGAATAGTGCATAATGTTGTGCAATGACTCATATTCAATGGACCGTACCTCTTCTCATCATAACAACAATACAAGTTAAGGGCTTGGGCTGATGTAAAGGGTTGGGATAGAGGGCTATATATTTATGTTCTGTAAACCTAATGTAACAAGGAGAACACTAGCTAAACACAAATCTTTATTCTCTAATAATATATAATGGTAGCCTCTCAAAGCTCTCGGGGACGTAGGCACAATTGGCTGAACCTCGTTACCAAATTCCTTGTGTTATTCTCTTCTCTTTTACTATTTGATTGATCGCTTGTTCCCAACAATTGGTATCAGATGGCTCTTAACCCAGGTGCCAAATTCAAGGTGGGGAAGTTCGATGGAGCTGGTAATTTCGGATTGTGGCAAAGGAGGGTTAAGGATGTGTTGGCTCAACAAGGTCTATCAAAGGCGCTGCGTGAGAATAAACTAGATGGTATGGACCAACTGGATTGGGAAGAGTTACGTGCTTGACGACCTCAATACGTGCCTTCAAGGACCCCCGTGCTTGACGACCTCGAAGTCATTTTATCAGGCTCCGCGCCTGACTGTTTCATTAAAACCATAATTTTGAGGGGGCCGTGCTTGACGACCTCAAATTATAGGACTGAGGACCCTCGTGCTTGACGACCTCAATCCATGCCTTCGAGGAACCCCATGCTTGACGACCTCGAAGTCATTTTTTCAGGCTCCACGCCTGACTGTTTTAATAAAACCATAATTTTGAGGGTCCCGTACTTGACGACCTCAAATTATAGGACTGAGGACCCCCGTGCTTGACGACCTCAATCCATGCCTTCGAGGACCCCCGTGCTTGACGACCTCAAAGTCATTCTTTCAAACTCTGTGCCTGACTGTTTTATTAAAACCATAATTTTGAGGGGCCGTGCTTGACGACCTCAAAATTATAGGATTGAGGACCCCGTGCTTGACGACCTCGAAGTCACTCTTTTCAGGCTTCGCGCCAAGCATTTTTTGAAAAGTTTGCTTTTTTTTTATAAAAAAGAATTTTTTTTTTAGACTCGTACCTGCTCCCTTACTTTACCATTGCAAAGGTTTCTTTGGTGCCTCGTCAAAATTAGTACTCAATTCTTTACAAGTTGTTTCTTGCGGTAACACACAAACATCGGTTGTATATTATCACATAAACAACAAGTAAAGAGGGGCAACTGTGAGTACCCAATTTTGTTCGGCCCAGATTATCTTCCCAAAGTATAAAATAAATAAATAAATAAAAACATAATATCAAAATTATTTGTTAAAGAAACTTAGTGGATTTAATGTCCCAATTACACAAATTCAAAATTAGATTTGTTATCTCTTTGGTTATATTCCAGAATTAAATACACCAATTAATGGTGCAATATTTGGCAATAAAAAAACATCATGCATATCAGACTATTGGCTATTCAATCAATAATTGACACTACACCCAGTTAATAGAGAACAATGCAATAACACCACTGTAAATCAGTGCAATAATTCACATACAAAACATTTTGCTTCATTTGAGAAAGGATTTGCTATGAACATGCTTATTTTGGCCTAAGAAAGGACCAGATTCGGTCCCTAAAAGAAAACTAGAAATGTTGGATTTTCTCCATTTAGTTTCAGCTAACATATTAATAGGAGGATCCTCTCATTATGGTGCATAAGTCTCTCCCCTTTAGCCACATTTGCATACCTCATACAATCCCTAAAATGGAAAGAAAATCAAGTGAGAAATAGGACAATAAAGAAATAGAGAGATTTACGCATATGGAGATATACACAGTTAATAATAATCAATGCTAGGAAATAAAATTAGTCGGCCATTAAATATAGATTCAAATCATTTTGATTTCAATAATTAATAGTAAGTGAATAATAAACAGCAATAATTAGCATTTGCATAGAGGAATGATCTCAAGAAGGAAATAATCTCAAAAGGGCAATCAAGGAGATAAAGGCAACCACAGAAATTATAGGTGCATCACACACTCATGCTCAAAGATATCTATAAAAAAGTAGTGTATGAAGGAGTGAAGGGAAGGAAGAGATTGTTACACACATATTCATACATAATCATTCCTCATACATAGAATCCCATATTCCCTTAAAACTTTCATAGTGTTTTCGGCATAACCTTTTCCTATCAACACACACATTCGCACAACAATCATTCCTCATACATAGAATCTCATATTCCCTTAAACTTTCATAGTGTTTTCGGCATAACTTTTTTTCCTCCTACCTATATCAACACATATCATATAAAACAAGCCAAATAGACCAAAGGTATTAATAATCAGAGGAGACTAAGAAAAGGGATTAGCGGCGTACAGGGAAAAGGATACCGAAGTGAGAGTAACTACAAGGTGTTACAAACTTCATACCAGGTAATGAGTCTATTCTCTTTTTATTCAAATTGTTTGTCCATGTTCCATATAAAGTCATGAAAGTCTTACATTATTATACAAAGAATATATATCTTAATACAAACATGTGCATCCATATTCAGCTAAGATTGAAGATGATTCATCACAACAAGTTTAAATCGGTTTATTCATGGTAAATTTAACGGATTTTCAATAATTAGATTTCAATCAATTCAGTAATACTTTCATCCAAACCGTAGTAAAAAAAGAGATAGTGTTCCTTACCTAACCCTTTGAACCATAATTTGTGATAAACTTAGTCATCTTGCTTAGGAATCCAGGTAACTCTAACAACAATTGAAAGATAATTAATAAGAAATAAAACCAAAAGGAACAAATAAATGTAACAAATGGAAAAAGTAGAAGAAGAACAAAAAGGGGAATTTAGGGTTTTGGTTCCCTTTTGATGCACCGTGTTGGATGAAGATTCACCACCATGGGAAGTGGTTTCGGTCAAGAGCCGCTATGAATCTTCACCTTTCCCTGCCGGCGAGAACCCAAGCCGCCGCCGCTGCCGCCGTGGGTGAAAAGAGAAGGAAGACGTTGGGGAGTTTCACCCCTATCATTTTGATCGTGTAAATGGGGCTAACAGTAGGTTACCCCATCTAATTAATTATCCATTTTCCTTTTTTAGTTTTTATTTTACTTTTATACATGTATGTTTTTTAATATTATTATTTTTGTATATCATAAATTCCTGTTTCATTTACATATCATATAACCTCAAATTAAAATTAGTTAATACCCATAATGTATTTGATCATATCTCTTTTTTTATAAAAAAATTTGAAATATACTTTAATTATTTAAAAAAAAATATTTTTAAGATCTGATGTGGTGTCGGATATTAGGGCTGCACTTCACTTTCTTAGAATTGATGGATGAATACATTAACATTCCTTAATAAATTTAAATATATTTTTTTTAAGACAATGAGATGAATATCTTAACTAATTTTTAATGAGATGCGGTATCAGACACAAGGGTTGTACTTCACTCCATTTGAATATAAAATTAGTTAAGATTAAACATCATATTTTCTAAACAATAATAAAATTAACCTAACCAACAAACTCTTTTTTCTACCTAAAGAACTACGTAGTCTTGATTCCCTATAGGGATACGTAAGAGCAAGATTGTATCTTGTCAGACATAACAAAAAATAAAAAATACTTTCTTGTAATAAAATATTTTAACAAGTTCTTTTGGTATAAATAAAAAGTCTGTGTAATTAATAATGGTACCGTTTAAATGGGCGGATGGGTGCTAATATCTTCTCTAGTCTGTAACTGACTCCCAAACCTGGATATCAAAATCCAAAGCCCCAATGTAATTGAGCTAACAAACTATTCTACATTTTTTACACTAAAATGTAGTGGCGACTCTAACGAAGTCGTGTAGCCGAAAATCAGGACTTGACTGAACTACCAGTTAATTTATTTATTAAAGTGTAATATGTAATTCGGCTAGTTCTGGAGAATCTATTTGTGTTGCATTCTCAGCAGGCTGCTTTTCCATTGATTTGATTTTACAAAAATGAAACACATTAGTTCAAGACCCTTCAATTTTTTATAAGAAAATAAAGTTACTATTGATATGAATATCCAAAAACATTGAAGATCCCAAATAATATAAAGCAATACTTTTAATATTGATTGGAAGGCACTAGGAATGGCAACGGGGCGGGGCGGGGTCGGGTTTGTGCATACCCAACCTCGAACCCGAAATTAAAAACCCGAACCCGAAATGAACGGGGTTTAATATGCTAATACCAAACCCGAACCCGTCGGGTTTCGGGGAACCCGAACCCGAAATTAAAAACCCGAACCCAAAAATATATAAACAATGTTCTAACAAGAAATGGATAAAAATATACTGAGTGATGTTAATTCAAAAACAAAAACTTTCAACTAACATATCCACAATGAGACATGACAATAGCACTTTCACATTACATAGGAAAACAGATCCTCACAAACTAATATTCACTCAACTCCAAAGTGGTGAAGCAAAATCAGAAACTTAAAACAGTAACAATCTTGGTTTTCTGCTGTTCAAAACAGGACAAGCTTAGTCCTATGTTTTTATCCAGTTTAATCATCCAAGTTAAATTTGCCTAAGCCACAACATTTGTACACTAAATCTTCAATGAAAATAAACCCATTATTAATTTCTATGAAGCACAGTATTATATAATATATACCATTAACCATCTCAATTCTGCTATAACACAATCTTTCCAAGTACAAAGAGATTCAGTATTTACTAAACAACTAAAATGGGGAATAAAATTTGTTGAATTCCACAATTTTTTACTCAGATAACAAAGAGATTCAGTATTATACTCAGATAAAATTAGCTAAATTTTCATTTCAGTATAGTAAAAAAATCATCTGATACATAATTCCATTACTTAACAATTTTTATCATTAGATAACAATTTTGAGAGTTTGAGAGGTAACAAAATCATCTAAAACATAATTCCTTCTTTATGTGTCTTCTTTACTTGTTCCGAGAGTTTGAGAGTAGACATATGTGAGTAGGCATCAACTATTAATCTTCAAAATTATAACTCAAATTATTATTCATCACTTCAGCTGCATTAAAATTTAAGCCAAAATTAAATATGCTCATATGATAAATAATTTAAAGCAAATGAAGTATGAAATACCTTCATCATCGGATTCCATTTCATTCAAAACAGTGGCATATTCTTCTCTGAGACTTGAATTCAAATTTCCTAGCAATATTCAAAACAAAAAAAATGATAGTTTAAAACTTTAATAACTTAAATCAGATTACATGAATTAACACTTTAATAGCTTAAAATTTTACCAGCATTCTCAGCAGACCATAGCCAACTTCTAGCGCACATCAAAGCTTCTAATGTAGTCCAATTAAGTCGACTACGATGAGGGCTCAATATTCGGCCACTTGTACTGAACGTAGATTCAGAAGCTACAGTAGAAATAGGAATAGCTAACAAATCTTTTGCAATTGCTTGAAGTGTTGGATACATGATTCCATTTGTCTTCCACCAATTTAAAATGTCAAAATCAGGTGTCCTTTTAATAACATCCTCCTCCAAGTAATGATCCAACTCAGTTTTAACACTTGAACTTCTAGTTTCTCTCCTCCTCTCGATAAACACATCATATTCATCCAAAGGTTCATCATTAGCAACAGTTCTATTTATCAATAGAGAGCTTCCACTAGATATTTTAGTTTGTTGATAATCAGACACTAAATCATAACACAACTCTCGGATTTTGCTAACTTGCGTACATGCATCATGATCATACAACTTATCAAAATAGAATTCAAGTAATGCCATTTTATATCTAGGATCCAAGACTGTAGCAACCCCATAATATCATGAATCACACTCCAATACTTTTCAAACTTAGTCATCATATTCTCTGCCATCCTCTTAATGAATTCATTAGAGGAGTTCATCCATTGACTTATTGCTAACTTAATTTGACAAATCTTGGGAAAATATATGTTGGCAGTTGGATATTTATTACCAGAAATCATCTCAGTTATGGAATTAAACAATTTTAGTCGCTCACAAACATCTTCTGCAAATTGCCATTGTGAATTACTTGGCAAACAAGTGTATTGAGTGTCACGGTTTCTTAACCGATTAAATACATCCTTATATAATATGGCAACCTCAAGCATTTTGTACGTTGAATTCCATCTAGTTGGGCAATCTAAAATCAACTTTTTAGTGTAAGGAACTCGCAATTGTTTAGCAGTCTCCTCAAACTTTTCGTTCCTTTTTGGTGTAGCATTCCAATATGCTACACTATCTCGAATCTTTTCTATCCCATCTTTCACAACTTCTAAACCATCTTTAACTATTAAATTTAGGATATGTGCACAACAACGCATATGAAGTAAAGACCCATCCCTCAACAAATTTCCCAATCGCAACTTATCCTTGATTTTTGGAATCATGGCATCATTTGAACTACAATTATCTAGAGTAATAGTTGATATTTTTGTGTCAATGTTCCAATCCATAAAGCATTCAACCAGCACATTAGAAAGTATATCACTACTGTGAGGAGCAGGAACATAAATGAACCTAAAATGACAATATTCAACTTTAATATAAATGATAAAATATAAATATATATTGCACAATATTGAGTTATAAAATATAATTACCTCAATACTCGACTTTGTAAAGTCCAAGAGCAATCAATATAGTGAGCTGTGACTGCCATATACCCCCTCTTTTGATTACTTGAAGTCCACATATCTGAGGTAATAGCCACTCTTCCTTCATGACTATCCAACATCTTCATTGCACATTCTCTCTCAAAATCATACACTTTGAATATCTCCTTCTTGATAGTGTTTCGAGAAGGAACTTGAAACAATGGTTGGAGGGCAGCCGAGTACCTCCTAAAACCAATATGATCCACTATTGATAGCGGATAATCATGCATAATAATTGCATTCGCAAGCTCCCTTTTCGTATTTTCTGTATCATAAGTTCCAACTCCCAACTCTTGCTTACCTTGTAAGGCTTTAGGAAGTAGAAATGTCTGCCCTTTGTCATGACCTTTAGTCATAATCTTTTTTTGAACACATAACTCCATATGGTTGTGCAAGTGTTTTGTTCCATTCCTTGAACTTCCGCCGAGTTGTTTCCTACAATATTTGCATTCAGCCTTGTCAACCCCATTCACTTTAATCTTTTGAAAATGTTCCCACACCACACTTCTATGTTTCTTTGGTGCTGGTTGCATTGTTGATTATGTATTATCATCTTCTCCAACATGAGATTGAGAAGGCTCAGGTGTAGGATTAGAAGTACTTTCCACATTTACATGGTGTGAGCTTCCTTGTGAAACATGTTGGATACTAGTCACATCCATATTTGTTGGATTCACTAGATCCATTCTACCTAACAAAAGAAACACAACATAATATAATGCACTATTAGAGTAAACATCATGATTATATAGAGATATATGCAAAAAAATCAAGTAGATGCTAAATTGAAATTATTTACACCTCTACCAAGCACTCCCACACCATAGAAGATAAAATGGTTTAATTTCTATTGCTTTATCTTAAGTGAACAGTTTTAACATTGGCTTGAAAGTCAGAACTTGAGATATTGGGTATGCCCCTGTTCACGTTTTGCTACGCCTTCATTATATAAATCTATATAGCATATTATAATGTTCATGAAGTACATTAGGCACATAAAGCACAACACTGTGAATATGTGATATATCATATATACCCATCATTGAAGCATATGCATGAGGCATTGAAGCATTTTATCAAACACTTGATAGGTTGGAGTCAAGGTATGGTCTTTCTATTTTTATGTTTAAATAAGATATGTCTGGTGAATGAATATTGTATTTGTATGTTAGTTATAACCTAAATGAACAACAAAACTTAAAATTGAAAACAAAGAAACCGTACAAGTAAAAAAAAGAAGAGAAAACACAAAAGAATAGTATAAATAAACACAAAGGATGAGTACTTACTAATTGAGAAGGAGAACCGGAGAAGATGGAGACTAGACTGAGAAGAAGAACCTTTGTTCTTTGAGAAGGAGATGAAG